AAGGTTTCGAAATTCTTGATGAAGAAAATTTAGAAGATTGGTTTCAAAGTGATGCATGTGAGCCTGGCTTCCAGTATTTGACTGATGAAGACATCGTTATGTTGTTAAATCAAATAGTGATGATAGTAACTGATGCAGAAGATGTAGTAAATGAATGAAATACAATTTCTCATTCTGCTGCTCTGTGGAAACTTTATTAGATTATGTGGGAGGATTTGATTACGGTGACATTACTGCGCTTCGTAAAATATGTGTATCGATATATGGCGAAGACGCATTACATATTTTTTAATAAGGAAAATTCCTAGTTTGATGCTATGCATGCAAATATCAGCAATTTTTATATTTTTTGTACAGATATTGAATTTTTCTTTAATAAAAGGAGTTTTCGGATTATCCGTGTTTTTCGATTGTCCGTGCGACCTGTCCCAGTGATTAACCCGGATAATCGGGAGTGCACTGTATTCTTTAAGTGTAAACATGACATCTTAGCAATTCAAATTTGACGATGAATGTTCTTAGGGTTTAATTCTAACGAAAGAAAATGAATGAAACAGTCTTCCACTTGCAAACAACAAATAAAATTGTTTTGGATAATATTTGTTCCATCTACACAAGGAATAGCATTAAAAATAACTTTTCAACTGTTATAAAAGTTTAATTAATCACATCTACATAATAGTCTACAATTTTTAAAAATAGAGTTATAGTGATTTAAATTACGTTTAAATTCAAAGATTTATTAAATATGGTAATAGGAACTCTTACGTATCTGTGGAATCGGTACTATAGAGAATGTTTATTTACTGACGTTCTCATAATAAATATATATAATATTGCAGTATTTATTAAATAATTTAAAGCTATTATTTTATAATGATAAAGAATGATACAATTTTATCTATTCGTTGTTTCTTTTTTAAATTTTTTTTTGTTAATTCTTTTCTGATATCAAAATAGCAATATTTGAGTACTCGTCAACAGCTAAAACTTCTATTATTTAATCAATCTATGTTTTTTTTTAAATATATGTGTAAGTTAATATGTTTATACTTTGCTTTCCAAAAAAATAATATTTTGGCTATGATGTCGTACTCGTAATGAAACGTTGAAATCTTTATATGACATGCTATCTTTAATTAAAGTAAATATCTAATTTTTTTCCATTGAAATTTCTTTATAGCCTATTGTGCTGGTGGATGCTTTAACGGAGGCAAATGCAATAAATCTGGGAAGTGTATTTGCTCTCTTGGATACATTGGAACAAGATGTGAAAAAAAGTTAGCTTTAATTAATTTTTTATTAAAAAATTGTGTTTTAGAGTATTCAGGAATGCCAAAAATTAACTCAACATTATAACGTATAATTGATAAATGTACAAGAAGTTAAGATATTTTTTCTTTAATGTCTTTAAATCCTTTGCAAATGTAAATATTTTATGGGTCTCCTTCTGAAAAAAAAAACGATTTTACTTCTCCCACGTGAAACTACGGAAAATTATATGCCCAGATTTTCATTATTTATTTATTCAGTTACCAATTAACATTTTTGAATCATTTTTGTTTACTTTTTCTCATTGAAAATATATTCTATCGAACTTAACTACTCAATTTTAAATTTCAAAAATGCAGGTATTTGTAAAACAATTTTTAATATTTAGAGTTTTTTAAAATTTAAGTTTTAAAAGCATTTATGACCTTGAAATTGAAAGTTCGGTAAATAAGTTTGATAGAATACTTTTCAATGATTAATAAATTTAAACAAAAATGCATAAAAATATTAATTAGCTACTAAATAAATAAGAAATTGCAACATATAATTCTTCAGAAGTCAGATGAAGGAATTTTTTTCTGCATGAAAAGGGACCCTAAAAAGGACGCTATACCACGGGGAAAAGTTGTCATTGCGAATTCTCTTTCACTTTCATAACTAATTTAAAATTTACAGTGTAGAAAAAGTAATTTCAAACAAACTTAAAGTAAGCCATGAAGTTTCGAATGCTGAAAATAAATTATGAAAATATCAAGAGAAAAAGAAAATATGAAAAGATTACTTAGGATTACGATATCAGGAAGTTCTCTTCAAATAATTTGTTTCCATTTTGATATTTTCTCGTTTTTTTTTCAACAATTGAAAATTCATGGCCTATTCTAGGTTTCTCAGAACTCACTTTTTCTATACTTTAAATTTTAAATTAGTAATGGAGATGACAGAGAATTTGCGATGAAAATTTTCTCCTGCAATATGGCGTCCTCCTTATCAGAGAAAAAAAATAGAGAATCTTATACTGTTAAGTTAATGCATTTGATTTAGAATTCACATTTTGTTATTGTTGAACTTTTAAAATCTAAGTTTGTGGTTTCTACAAGGTGACACGAAATAGCTTAAAAGAACAATAGAATAAAAAATTAATAGTCTGAATAATAGAAAATAATAGCCTAAAGAACAATAGAATAAAAATTTTATATGCCTGTAGAGACATAAACGTTCAAATAAACATGAAAACATAGCCACTTGTAACATGTTTACAAATTATCAAATTCATTACATTTGACCTTAATCCAAGGTCAAATTTTCAATTATATACATTCTTATGAGATTTTGCTCCTGTCTCATAGAAGGGTTTAACGTAAACATTCATTGTATTCAAGTCTGGTGAATGAGATGGCCATTCTTGTGCAGTAAGTTATTTACTTAATCATCGTAAATTTCATTTGCTCAATGTCTTAGAGCAGAACGTCTGTTGTAAGGTCCATTTTTGATTCCTAACGAACTTTTGTTGCTAAGAAAGCGCAAAATTTTTTAACATGGAGCAATAAATTTAGTTTTATACTTTATCCAACTTATTTCCTGTCACCTTGTATATTATTGTATAATGACTTTGATTTTTATCACTTTTATAATATTCTTGTGAAATGTCATTGTTTTTCTCGTGGCAAAATGAAAAAAAATTTAACTGAGCAGTTTAGGAAATTTGTTTTAAAATGCATAATGGACCAAACTTATCATTCCAATTTTAACAAGCAGTAACACAAAGACATGCATTATTTACTGTTTTGAATATTTATAAATAATGCTAATAATTGCGCTTACTTCAATGAATAATAATAAATAATTCACTCAAACATCAGCTAAAATCTCATTTTCATGTTTCCAGAAACGTTCTGATAAATATAAAAGTTTTTAACGATTCACGAAATGAAATTGCACGAATCCATTAACCTAATTATCTTATTTGTTGCACTGTTTAATTTTTCCTAAAATTATCTCTGACCATAATGAACAGCTCTTTTTTCAGGAAATATTTTTATAGAAGAAAAAAACTGGATTACTTCTCTTAATAACATAAAATTCAATTATTCATATGGGGATAGTTAGCGAAAGCTAAAAATGTATATTATTTAGTATTTGATTACTTTTTCCATTAAAATTTTCATAACCAAAACGCTCATAAGAAACTGAACTTTTTAATCATTCAAAATATAAATGAAATACAAATGCTTTTTTTCTTTAAATTTAAATGTTTAAATTGCTCGGATAAAATGATCTCAGTCCACATTAACAAGTTGTAACTTTCATGAAGAGAGCTAGGCTACTGAGATGGATCTCAGAGATAGGAAAAAATGACTCTCTGAGGTTCGTCTCGCAAACATCTAACCTAAAACTTGACATGAACAATTTGTTATCTTGGGTGAAGTGCAGACGAGTTCAGATTATGAACTGTGATTGTGGTTATCCTATCACTATCATTTGATGAAAATTCATTCCATTGTATTTGTGGTTGCAGAAAACCTTGTAAGTTTGTTGAAATAAAGGAGCCCTTCAAAAGAGGATACAAACAAAAAGTGACCACACAAGTTAAGGTTCCTTGTGGAGCTTGGGGATGGAAACTGTGCACCAAAACAAAGTGAGTAAAATTGCGAAGTAGTTATTCAATAATCTAGTCCTAAGTTTTTAGCTGATTTTTTTAATATAAAAATCGGTAAATATAAAAATTTCATTATTTTTTGCTTCAGATTTAATTTAACAACTGACTCAAATGCAATTTACCAAGTATTTTTTGGCATATGCGGTAGAGAAGAGACAGAAAAATCACACACACACACTCACAGCGTGAAGTCGCAACGTGTTTTTAGAGTTTAGCAAATGGGGCAAAGTAGAATAATAAAATACAGAGCACTCATTGCCATTTTTACACATTTATTATACTTAAATTGAAAATGTAGCATACCATTTTTATCCTTAAATTTTTAAAAATTGAGCATGTTCATATCATCAACCAAACGTCGTAGCACAAAAAACTAAAACGAAATAGCAATTTAAAGAGAACTACCATAATCTTCAAAAACTGTCAATCCAAATAAAAATAAAAATTTGTTTACTGAAGAATAATTTGATTTAACGATGATATTCCTCAGATGTTTAATTTATTTCACAAGGCAAACCCTACACTCGTACACATAATTGTAAATCCTCAAACATGACTAGAGTGGTTGTGGGATATATAATCTGGTTATTCAAATATTTCCCGAAATTTCTGGCTTTGATCAACGAAAAATGTAGCAGAAGAATTTATAATGCTAACAAAATTATTTTCTTTACGTTAAAGGCGGCCGATTTATTTGCTAGTAAAATAAAATAAAATTATGAACCACCGAAGTTTCATCGTCTCTGTCGTAATTCATTTATGTTATTCTCCCTTTTCTCAGAAATTGATGAAAGAGGAGCTGGAGTTCAGAGAAATTTTACGATATTGATTGAAGTTTTCATTCATTAGTCACGTATTAAGGATATTCTTTAATATTTAGGTGTTTTGTTTAAAATACTCTATCTTATAAGAATTTCATACATACTCTGAATTCCTCATAGCAGTAATTTAATCATAATAAAATGCATTATATATGATGAATTAGTTTCTATGGCAAAATAAAGGTCTTAGTAGAGTTATTTATATCTGTAACGGAATACTTCGGTTATGAAATGAGCTAAAGCAATTTAGAACTTCAAATAAATTTATTTTTCTTAAGCTATTTATATAAATAAAAAGAGCAACATTGTAAAAAGGTTTTCTAAGAGTTAATGCTGGAACATTTTAAAAATGACTTCCTTTTTAGTTTTATTTATTCAAAGAGCAACAACATGGTAACACTACTAATACCTTCCTGTATATATTATTCTTATATATACATCGCCCCACCCCTGCGATTAATAGACAGGCTTAGTGATGACGCAGATCATGACGTCAGTAATCCCCTCCTTCTCAGTGTTTCAAACTTGAACACAATCCTTAACATGACGTCTCCTATAAAACGTAAAGTAATATGTTACTGAATTTTATTACTGAATAGTTCATTCAACTATATTAAGTAGCTGGTTTGGATAGAAAATATCCGATTTGAGGCGATAGCATCATTGATTTTTAGTTTTAAGACAGCTAAATTGAAGGGGAAAAAATGAAGATTTGTGGTTTTAGTTTTTGAAAGATTGTTTAGAATTTTTACAGAATTACGATTTCTGTATATATTATCTTTCAATTCGATGACATTTAATTAAAAGATAGTAATTTTTAGTAACGTTGGCAATGTTTTTTATACTTTTTATCATAAATTAAAACAAGTGTTTTTTATGTTATTTTCGGAATTAATTTAATTTTTAATACTTTTTAACTTTTAATTTTCTTTTACTTATTTGAAATAAAAAGATATTTTAAATGTAAAAATTATGATGCGAAGCTTTAGAACCTTCTTCAAGTACCTAATACTGTACTAGGTAGTTTCAAGGCACTTAAAATAGGACTTGTATAGACTAAAGTATTTCCTTAATGTATGTATGAGTCGAATTTATTTTAAACGATCACAACTGTTTCTAAAATATTAAGTACTTTCTAAATTAAAAAAAAAACTTTCTTATTTCCAAGGTTAAGAATGAAACGTAATTATTTTATTATTTTCATATTTTTTTATTATTTTATTCTTTTATTATTACAATTGTTATATGTTAACAAATATGACATTTTTTTCCCTCTAAGAGAATTTTATGATATGATAGTGTATATTTAATGGTCACACAAAAAATACATTTTTCTCTTAAAAACCATATCACATGTAGTTTATACATCTGCTAAATGTCTTAATCTTTCTTTGCAATTCAAATTGGTAAACATTAAAAATTTTCAAAACAGGACTGCATGAAATTATTTGCATGAATGAAATATCTAAAATCCTCAAGACAATAAAAAAACAGTTAGATATGTTTTGAGAAACGTAGCTACTAAATGTTGATGATTTTATTAATCTTTAAGCTGAAGCTTGTCATTTGTTATTCAGCCGATCTGACGGCGTTGCGATGAAGTTTAATACATAAAATTTTTTTTAATCTTCTAAAGATGTGCCAGATAAAGTGTTAACGGAAGGAAATTAATTATAACTATTAATTAGCTAAAAATGTTCTGTAACAACGCAATTGGTATGTAATTGGTCCATAACAGTTCAATTAGAATGTGATTGCTTTGAAACAACGCTATAACTCATCATATTTTAAAAGGATCTATTTTTAACTGGATTCTCACTTTCAGCATCAAAATAAATTATCTGAAATACAATAACAGAATGAGAACAGATAATCTTTTAACGGATTATTATTTATTTCCAATCACTTGTACTTGGACTGCTGCCTATTGCAATAATTTTAATCCTCAACGCACTGCGGTCAGACCAGGAGACGAACAACATTTGTTTTTCCTTAGCATACATTCTTATACAATTTATTTGAACTTCTATTACTACATAAATAATTAGATTTTTCATTAAATGAATCTCGGGCTGTTATGAATTTCCAATAACATTAATGCATCATATAACCACGCGTTTAAATATTTTGTTCTCTACTAAGTAATCAATTTACTAACAGAAACAATGAACCATTCTCTATTATAATACTCAGTATCACTTTTGAGCATTTATATGAAGATCACTTATTGTAGATAAATTTTACAAAACTGTAATGGGGAAAATATGATTGTAAAATTGTAAAGTTAAATTACTAACGATAGACTGTGTTTTCAAAATATTACATGCATAGAAAATTTTCTATAACATCTAATCGTTATTAATGAGAAAAAAATTTTTCATATACATTTATGAAGTAGAAACAGTTTAAGATTGAACTCTGTTGTTAGACTGAAATATAGAAACTGAAAAAAGGCGGTAGATACGAAGACGGAACGCTAGTATTTAATAAAAAATAAAGATGGCAGAAAAGAAAAGAACTTAGGAATGTTCTAACCGTAGCAGAAGTCCAACGTTTCGATGCAGACAATCGTATAAATTGGAAGTTTATAGCACCTCAAGCAGCCTGGGGGGGGGGGAAGCTGATGAGAGAGAATGGTTGAAACTGGTAAAAGAACTTTGAGCTGGACAATCATATTTGGTCCTCAAAGTCCTGAAACTTAAGAACTGGAGGGGAGTTGCCATGGACAGAGGGAGCTGGAGAAGGCGTGCTGTTGAGGCAGCCAAGGCCTGCAAAGGGCTGTTGCGCTCCTGAAGAAGAAGAATCATATTTGGAAGAAGAAAATTTGATCAAAGTTCTGGTAAGAATTGAAGCCGGCCACTAACGCACGAATATGGAATCGATGATAGTTAGTGATATAGTTAATATGAAAAAATCACTACTCACACTTCGAAAATTTTACTAGGAATAGCATTTACCTTTTAATTTAGTTATTAACTGAATTTTAAATGTTTACTATAAATACACAAGCTTAGATAAAGCAACAAAATCTGTTATTTCAGAAAGAACTAGACTAATACAATTCCAACCTGGTGAACATATAAGATCGCTAAGGGGTTAACCCTTCACGATCTTATTATTTTCAAGAAAACAATTATAAGAGTGACTATTTTTTATGTGAGAAAAGTATATTGAAAAAAGGCGTACGTGCAATATATGTATTCATTTTTGGGTATTGGAATTTTTTTAGCTTGAAATTTAAAACTCAATGCGTACTCCATATGTCCATGTAACTCTGACTCCCATATTGTACACTACATTAAAAAAATATTTTATCGCAGAACACAAAACACTACAAAGAGCATAAGTAGCTGAGCTTAGAGTATAAAATACATTAAAAATATATACATTTAGAAAGCGCTTACATATAGTTTAGAATGAACTGAACTATCTCCAGTTGCATTAAAAATAGTCTGGTGCAGCCATCTAGTGAGGAAAATAAATAAAAAAATTCCGGGTATTTAAACATTTTGGTGCATTATTATTGAAAGCTCTATCCCGGAAATATCACGGGTATGAGAAATAGGAGACAAAACAAACCCCGTGATTTTGACGGGAGCGAGTGGGAAAGGGTTAAACAAGCATATATATTAAGTGCCATTTCATCGAATCTTTACTCAAATTTTACATCTTTCAAGACTGACGCCTCGTGCAAAATATCAACATTTCGAAATAACATTTTTGTTACTATTTATGAATATGAATGATGTTGTTATGAAAATGATTAATTATTATAATTATCATTTCCTTTAGAGTTCATTACGAGATGGTTTATAAGACATTTTATAGGACATCCTACGAGTGCGAGGGATTCCAAAAGAGCAAGTACTCGGAATACAAGAAAGAGTGATTCTCATTATGTAAAAAAAAACATTTCACAGTATCTGACTTAGCTGTTCATCGCACACTGTCTCTTCCCAACTCAATAAATATCTGTTTTTCTGTGTCTTTCTCATTGTTCCAATCACTCCATCCATTCACTGCAAATTACTAAGTAGCACTCAATTAAGCGCAGTAACATGAAACACTCTGCTAAGTAAATACTGAAAGTCAGTATAAAATCAGCTGATTTTGATGCAAGATTCTACTTACAATTTCAATTTTAATTCACACAAATCAGTGTTTCAGCATTGTTAGAATTTTAATTCTAAAATTAAGGTAAAATAACCGGGAACAGTCTGCCCATCCAATTCACCGTAAAGTTTATGGTCAAGAACATATTTTACATTTACGGTTTTGAAACCGTTTACAACTAGCTTGGTATAAAAACCATGAATACAAAACTATACGGTTCAATAAATATCTGTTTTTCTGCGTCTTTCTCATTGTTCCATTCACCCCATCCATTCACTGCAAGTTACTAAGTAGTAGTCTATTAAACTCAGTGACATGAAACAAAGTAAATACTAAAACTCAGTATAAAATCAGCTGATTTTAATGCAAAATTATACTTACAATTTCAATTTTAATTCACAAAAATCAGTGTATAATGCATTGTTAGAACTTTTATTCTAAAATTAAAGTAAAATAACCGGCAGTAGTCTGTCTATCCAATTAACCGTAAAGTTTACGGTAAAGAACAGATTCTACATTTACAGTTTTACAACCGTTTCCAACTAGTATGGTTAAAAAACAATTAATATAAAACTATATGGTTTCTTAGCCACTTGCAACTAGCATGGTTTCAAGCCGGAAAAGTGGCTTAATTAGTTAACCTATTGTAAGAGGTGGGAAATACTAGACCTTTTAGCATTAAAAAGCTTTAGGGTGCTGCTATCTATGAATGAATGAGAGTGACGTATTTCAATAGTCTAGGGTCACAGAAAGGGAAATGCTGGACTCTGAAGCGTCACTTAGCAATGACGCTTTCAAATAATGCAGTTTTTGAGAATCGTTTATATCATTGATTTTAGTTATAATGTTATCAAATTGTGATTTAAAATTCGGACGCTCATCATATTCACCGTGAAATACCGGTAGTGGTATCTCAGGTAGTTTAATTTCTAGTTTTCTTTTCGAATCAGCCTGAGATATTTCATTTTCACAATTACTTATTGAACTTTTAGAAGGTTTAACTATCTAAGAGTTAAGAATATCTTTAATTCTTATCTCCAAAGCTTCTACTCCGTCTACTTACCCTTCGAAATTTCACTTTCTGTTTCAGTTATCTCCGAGTCACTTATATCTTTGATACCATAATATTGATAATTCGAATCCTCAACTTTTTGACATAATTGTTCAACACGCTTAAGCTTCACTTCTAATTCAGTTGGAGTCTGTTCCTTCGTCTGATCAATTTAAGTTTCTAACTTTGTTATGGTACCTTGGACAGCACGCTTCGATCTATTTAGTTTCTGTTTTCCCATCTGCGGCTATTAAGGATCATTAATGTTCGATACCAATTGATTTGAATTCTATGATGGTTCATTGATAACAAATGAATAAAATGGCTAATGGACCGTATTTCAAAATTTCATTTCCTTGGTGCTACGAGCACGCTCAAGCTATAAGATCAACCACCAATTTTCAATAGTTATGGTTAAAAGAAACGGTGGCGAGGATGCTAAGACAAAGATGCCAAATTGGCGCTATATTTCTGAGATATTGAACAAATCCGAATTTCATCACATCAACTAGGCCAAACTAATGAAGCCACTTAGTTCCTTGCAACTGCGCACATATTATAGTCGACAGTACTCTGTCCATCTCACGAGTGACAGAACGAAGTTTTGAGTCCCAGAACTGACACCCCAATATTTAGTTCATTCCCTTCAAAACATGAAGAGAAAAGGGAATTTCCAACGGTTTTATGCTGAAATATTTGTGTGTTTAGCCTCGAAGGCGATTCACTTGGAAGTGGTTTCCGATTTAACAACCGATGCTTTTCTTGCTACCTCAAAGCGTTTTGTGGTTAAGCGTGGCAAATGTGCTACAATATCATCTGATAATGCAGAAAACTTTGGTGCTAGTAGGGCATTGCAAAGATTGCAGAATTTAACTATATTTCCTGACGAACAACTAACATCCTATTTGGCATCTGAAGAGATAGTTTGGAATTTTATTCCTCCCAGAGATCCAAATTTCGGTGGTCTCTGGGAGGCAGGGATCAAATCCTTTAAGTTTTACTTAAAGTGAGCTACAGGAAATCTAAAATTAACATTTGAGGAATTCCTTACAATAACAGCGCAAGTCGAAGGAATCCTAAATTTTCGGCCATTGTCAGATGATATTGATGACCTGGATGTTTTAACACCAGGACATTTTTTGGTTGGAAGGTCTATAACTGCTATAACTGAATCAAATTTGTTGGATAAATCGGAAACCCGACCTTCTCGATGGCAAAGGGTGACAAAAATGGTTCAATAGATTTGGAATAAATGGTCTCGCAACTACCTGAACAATTTGCAACAAAGAACAAAATGACAAGTAGAGAAAAACAACATAAATTTAAATGCGATGGTTTTAATAAAAGAGGATAATCTTCTTGTAAATCAGTGGAGCTTAGGACAAATTTTAAAGCTATTTTATGGAACGGGAGGAAAGGTCAGAGTAGCGGAGATTAAAACAAGCAAGAGAATTGTGAAACGTAGCATTAGTAGATTGTGTATTTTGCCATTGGACAATTAAAAAAGATGTGTGTTAATTTACTCACCAGTACCTACAGCATTTATTCAATCTTTGTAAATTTTATATTGGAATATATTTATGTACCATTGTTATGCTAATCTGTTATATTATAATGTCCACCCGCCATTGAATATAATTCNGGAAGCTGATGAGAGAGAATGGTTGAAACTGGTAAAAGAACTTTGAGCTGGACAATCATATTTGGTCCTCAAAGTCCTGAAACTTAAGAACTGGAGGGGAGTTGCCATGGACAGAGGGAGCTGGAGAAGGCGTGCTGTTGAGGCAGCCAAGGCCTGCAAAGGGCTGTTGCGCTCCTGAAGAAGAAGAATCATATTTGGAAGAAGAAAATTTGATCAAAGTTCTGGTAAGAATTGAAGCCGGCCACTAACGCACGAATATGGAATCGATGATAGTTAGTGATATAGTTAATATGAAAAAATCACTACTCACACTTCGAAAATTTTACTAGGAATAACATTTACCTTTTAATTTAGTTATTAACTGAATTTTAAATGTTTACTATATATACACAAGCTTAGATAAAGCAACAAAATCTGTTATTTCAGAAAGAACTAGACTAATACAATTCCAACCTGGTGAACATATAAGATCGCTAAGGGGTTAACCCTTCACGATCTTATTATTTTCAAGAAAACAATTATAAGAGTGACTATTTTTTATGTGAGAAAAGTATATTGAAAAAAGGCGTACGTGCAATATATGTATTCATTTTTGGGTATTGGAATTTTTTTAGCTTGAAATTTAAAACTCAATGCGTACTCCATATGTCCATGTAACTCTGACTCCCATATTGTACACTACATTAAAAAAATATTTTATCGCAGAACACAAAACACTACAAAGAGCATAAGTAGCTGAGCTTAGAGTATAAAATACATTAAAAATATATACATTTAGAAAGCGCTTACATATAGTTTAGAATGAACTGAACTATCTCCAGTTGCATTAAAAATAGTCTGGTGCAGCCATCTAGTGAGGAAAATAAATAAAAAAATTCCGGGTATTTAAACATTTTGGTGCATTATTATTGAAAGCTCTATCCCGGAAATATCACGGGTATGAGAAATAGGAGACAAAACAAACCCCGTGATTTTGACGGGAGCGAGTGGGAAAGGGTTAAACAAGCATATATATTAAGTGCCATTTCATCGAATCTTTACTCAAATTTTATACCATTCATAACTGACGCTTCGTGCAAAATATCAACAATTCGAAATAACATTTTTGTTACTATTTATGAATATGAATGATGTTGTTATGAAAATTATTAATTATTATAATTATAATTTATTTTAGAGTTCATTACGAGATGGTTTATAAGACATTTTATAGGACATCCTACGAGTGCGAGGGATTCCAGAAGAGCAAGTATTCGGAATACAAGAAAGAGTGATTCTCATTATGTAAAAAAAAAACATTTCACAGTATCTGACTTAGCTGTTCATCGCACACTGTCTCTTCCCAATTCAATAAATATCTGTTTTTCTGTGTCTTTCTCTTTGTTCCAATCACCCCATCCATTCACTGCAAATTACTAAGTAGCACTCTATTAAACTCAGTAACATGAAACACTCTGCTAAGTAAATACTGAAACTCAGTATAAAATCAGCTGATTTTGATGCAAAATTATACTTACAATTTCAATTTTAATTCACACAAATCAGTGTTTCAGCATTGTTAGAATTTTCATTCTAAAATTAAGGTAAAATAACCGGTAGTAGTCTGTCCATCCAATTAACCGTAGAGTTTACGGTAAAGAACTGATTCTACATTTACAGTTTTAAAACGGTTTCCAACTAGTATGGTTAAAAAACATTGAATACAAAACTATATGGTTTCTTAACCATTTACAACTAGCATGGTATCAAACCGGAAAAGTGTCTTAATTAGTTAACAAGTTAACCTGTTGTAAGAGGTGGGAAATACTAGACCTTTTAACGTTAAAAAGCTTTAGGGTGCTGCCATCTATGAATGAATGAGAGTGACGTATTCCAATAGTCTAGGATCAGAAAAAGGGGAGTGCTGAACTCAGAAGCGTCACTTAGCAATGACACTTTCAAATAATGCAGTTTTTTGTGAATAGTTTAAATCATTGTTTTTAGTTACAATGTTATCAAATTGCGATTTAAAATTAGGCCACTCATCATATTTACCGTAAAATACCGGTCATGGTATCTCAGGTAGTTTAATTTCTAGTTTTCTTTTCGAATCAGCCTGAGATATTTCATTTTCACAATTACTTATTGAACTTTTCGAAGGTTTAATTATCGAAGAGTTCAGAATATTTTTAATTCTTATCTCCAAAGCTTCTACTCTGTCTACTTTCCCTTCAGAATCTCACTTTCTGTTTCAGTTATCTTCGTGTCACTTATATCTTTGATACCATAATATTGATCCTTCAATTCCTCAACTTTCTGATATAATTGTTCAGCACGCTTAAGCTTCACATCTAATTTAGTTCATCTAATTCTAATTTAAACAAATATCGTATTTTGCAGTTGTTATTTTTTAATGAAAATGTGTTTGAAGCTCGGCGCATAAGAAAATAAAAATACACTTCCTGTTCTAGTGCATTCTTAAAATTTCATGATATGTTTTATGCCTTTATCTGTTTTACACTCTTCTTAAAAATTCATGTGCAATTATTTTTGTTTTTAAAATAAATTAATCAGGTTTTTTGAAAATAATGTTTTGAGGTGTAAAGATTTATCATTTTGACAAAGTTTGTATCCGTGCTATTATTTTCAAACAACTCTAAACGTTATAGGTAAAATGCAATCTGATATCTAAAATAAAAAGAAAGTAAACGACCTTTTCCCATACCATACAAATTAAGTACAAATTCATCTGGGCCATTAAGGTTTCTTTTTCTATTTTCCTTTGCTTGTGAAAACTTTTCAACATGGACTATTGTTCCATTTTTTTAAACTGCATATTGCTTGTATGATTTTTAGAAAAAATTAAACATTTAAAGAAAAAAAATGCTAGTAGCACAAGGTGACTGTATGAATAAGTTTAGTAATTACCAAAAAATGTTAAATTTTAAGTTACTACCTTTCCTTTCCAATGATTCCAAGATTAATATGAGAGCGTCCTCAGCAGGACTCATACATCAAAAACAAGCAGTTTCAGTTTAAGAAAGAATTAACGTCTGTTATATATCACTAAAACCAGGATCAGTATTGAGGTGATTGTTCCTTGAAGATTAATAATTGGTATGCAACAACGTGTATTTAAAGTATTATAATAAAGTTGGCGTACATATTGGCCATTAACAAAAGTGGCTTTATTTTTGTGTGCCATTTTTCCGCTCAGTTGGGTGCAAGAAATAATTTATTCTTAATAAATATGCACCTGTATATAAGCAAAATTGAGGTCGAAGGCTTATTTTATTCTTTTCAATAATCGACGTTGAGCAGCCGACATTTTTACGACTATCCACTTAGTTTACGACTAGCAATGTTCAAGTCGTAGCCTTGAAATTTTCAACCTAAGCCGGAGGACAAAGGAATTCCGGGAACAAGCATTTTGGCAAACTAGCCTTCGTGGAGGACTTTTAAAAAGAAGTTACCCGTATTTACGTTACGTGGAAGAGAGAACCACGAAAATCTCCCATGGTTAGGGAGGGGATTCTCTCCCATGAACCGTCTACCACTAATAATATTTTACGTCAGCACGGTGGTCGGTGCGAACCGGGAACAGAATTCGAATCGACCGGTCACTGGTGGGATTCGAATCTGGGTTACCTCATTGGGAATCGAACGCTCTATCCTCTAAACCACAGAGGATCTCGAAAACTAATTTTATATTTTATAATTTTGTAGCCATTATTGAACAGCAGGCACAATTTTGAGTTTACCACCACCAATGTTCTACTCCGTAGCATAGTAAATTTGAACCCTATCCAAAACACAAGGGAATTCCAGGATAAAGTATTAGGAGAAATTTGCCTTAGGGAAGACTTCTCGATCAAACTAACCCGCACTTGTATTACAGGAGAGAGAAACGAAGAAAACATCCCATGGTTAGCCATGATGGTTAACTTTATGCTTCAGAACTTTTTCAATCTGCCTGGTCCATTGCGAACTAACGCAGATGACTTGCACCGAGATTTCCAATTAGCTTGCGACAAATACAGTCAAAAAGGCTAGATGTCTTTGTCTTGAAACAATGAACTCTTAAAAAAAAATTTATTAGCTCTTTACATTTATCACCTTACATCTGTATTTATTTTTCTTGCTTTTCTTTTTCCCCTATCCCTCGTACCAAAGCCACTTTTCAAATTCTCAATTTATTCAAAACAAGTCTCTTCATATGATTTACCTGAATGAATCTCTTGAAGCGCAGAATGGCGCAAAGTAAGGGCGCTTTTTCATTACACGACACGATAACGACAAAACGGATCCGATTGTCGGCGAACGACATAGGGTCAAGTAAAATACATGGTCAGCAACGGAGCNGATATTTAAATTTAGTTTTCAGCTTTAGGGCGCTTTTTCATTACACGACACGATGACGACAAAACGGATCCGATTGTCGGCGAACGACATAGAGTCAAGTAAAATACATGGTCAGCAACGGAGTGCTTTTTCACTCACCGATACGATAACGATTATGTCGTATCCGACAAGGCGATATCGCTTGTCGGAATCAGAGTTGGTTTTAGGCAAGCAAGTTTCTCCTCAAATCATGGCGATTTTATTTGTTATTGTGTATCCTTTCTGTTTTATCTCCTCTTTTGATATCATTATTTTATTCTTTTAATCAATTTTAATCGTTTATTTGATCATGTCAAATGAAAAATTTAAAAATAAAAGTTTTATATAATGTATTCTCATGTCTGGTTATAAATTTTTAATTTTATGATGCAGCATTTTTTACATTATAATGAGGTTGAAAGACTTAAACAATCATAAAAGTTTAATTGAAATTTTTTATAAATTCATTATATGCTTTAATGAAGAGATAATATTTTTTATAATAGTAATGGTTTGATAAGAAGGCAAATAAAGACCTTTATGTATTTCAAACAGAACTCGAGATCTAACTACTGATTTCCGCTTGATTAAATAATATAAAATCTGTTCCCTGATTCAACTAAAACATTTTTTTAAAACATGAAAGAGCGGCTTCATAAGATAAATTTGGTAAAACTCATTTAAAAAATCATCTAAAAAGATTACTCTAAATGAAACTAATATTTTAATTCGATTTAAAAAACGTTAATACTTTAAAACATATAAAGAATTTAAGTAATGTTAAGTGATTACAGACATAAATTAGCGAGCAGACGCCAGCTCAAAAGCCATATAAAAATTATTCCTCATTAACATCACTCTTGTTCTTGGTTCCTCTCATTCAGGCGTAATTAAAAAATTTATTTGGAACTTTTTGAAGCTTATGAAAAAGCACAAAAAAATTTTCTTCAGCATATCTTGTCTCATTTATTTCGTGGGTATTTACGTTGTTGCAGAAGTTGTGCTAATGCGCCAATAAAGAGCAATCCTGTTGTTTGCACACAGCGTTTTCGCATGCAGTTATCTTTTGGATTCCTTGTTGCCTTGTTTGCCGATTTCTGACGCCATTTTTAGTGCTACGAAA